AATGATGCTTCATCGTATGAATGCTATGCTAGCATCCACAGCCCCACACACACTGCTTCTCATTAGGCAAGAGTCTAAATTAAAAACCACAGGCTGCTATGCCAGTGCTGAGCCCCCCTTCCCTTGTCTGAGGTCAGTGGAAACCAAAATCATCAACCCAATGAGGGCTGTATTCAAAATCACATTGAAAATCAAAGTTTTAAATTCAAAATTTTAAATCACAGGCTCATCCAAGTTGCATGAATTTCATCACTGCAACTCATAATGTGGCTCAGAAGTGTGTATGGCACAGTGTCTGGGCATGTTCCTGGTGAGCTGGCAGATGGAGTCCTGGGGGATCTCCTCCCAGACTTGGATCAAGGCATCAGTGATCTCCTGGACAGTCTGTGGTGGTACTTGTTGGCATCAGATTCACCAATACATAATGTGCTATAGGTGTTAAATTGGATTTTGGTCAGGGGAACATGCGGGCCATTCAGTGGCATCAATGCCTTCGTCATCCAGGAACTACCCAAACACTCTGTCCACATGAGGCCGGGCTTTGTCCTGCACCAGGAGGAATCCAGGGCCCACTGCACCAGCGTAAGGTCTAACAGTCACTCTGAGGATTTCATCCCAGTACCTCACACCAGTCAGGGTACTGTTGGCTATAACATGGAGGTCTGTGCGGGATATGTCTCCCCAGGCCATTCACCATGGCGACTTCAGACCCTTTCACACCTGTCACATGTGCTCAGTGTGAACCTGCTCTCATCTATGAATAGAACAGGGCACCAATGGTGGACCTGCCAATTCTGGTGTTTTCTGGCGAATGCCACTCGAGCTGCACGGTGCTGGGCTGTGAACACAGGTCATACTAGAGGACATCCAGCCCTCATGCCACCCTCATGGAGTCCGTTTCTGACAGTCTGGTCAGAAACATGCACACCAGTAGCCTGCTGGGGTTTGTTTTGTAGGGCTGTCACACTGCTCCTCCTTGCACAAAGGAGCAGATACTGGTCCTGCTGCTGGGTTGTTGCCCTTCTACAGCCCTGTTCAGCTCTCCTGCTGTAACAGCCAGTCTCCTGGTATCTCCTCAATGCTCTTGAGACTGTGCAGGGAGACACGGCAAACCTTCTTATGACTGCACGTATGGATGTGCCATCTTGGAGTAAATGGACTGCTTGTGCAACCTGATTGGGCTGCAGGTACTGCCTCATGCTACCAGCACAAAACTTGAGAAGAATCAGTCAGGAAGGATAAGCAGAGAGCATTTGTCAGTGGCCACCATATGTAAAACTATTCCCTTTTTGGGGGTTGTCTTGCTTTGGCCTCTCCATTGAACCTGTTGTCACTTTCATTTGCACCAGAACAGGTGAAACTGATTCACAACCACTTGTGCTTCCCAAATGAACAGATTGATATCCCAACAACTGGCTTGTTGTTGTACTGTGATGATAAAGTGTTCGCTTAATTTTTCGAGCAGTGTATTTTTTGGAGCAACTTGTGCTTTCTACATCCATGAAAGATTCATCTTTCATCTTTTCTTGTCAGTGTTGATGACACAAGAGCGCTCCCAGAGGTACTGAGGGCACCATGCATCTCTTGCTGTGAGACGTTGTGTAGTCTTGCGTTCCGCCCGCTGTCGGCATCCCATCTTTGGCTATTTTCAGTCTCAATTCTCCGTCCCTCTACTTATCACCATGGCAGCCGAGCTTAACTGAGATCAGCCCAACTCTGTGGTCTCTAAGGGCAGAGGTGGGGTGGCGGGATGGCTGGCTCGATGTCATGGTGGGAGGCTGCTTTTGAGGGCATCAGTCCTTAGCTCATTCAAACAGGATGTGGAAAGGTCATCTTGTTGTTTTATTCATAGATCTGAGCTGTAATCAGCTGTTTCACTGGTTTCTAGCAAATACACAGTGAAGACAGCCCTGTAATGTCAAACAGCAAGAGCTGAATACAATGGTAGCTGAACTGTGTGTTCAGGTATAATGCCTACACAAGTGTCAGCAATCATGTAATACAGTGATGTGAGAGAATAGCATGTTTGTCGGTGGCTTTTAAAATCTGGGTCAGGATCGTTTCAAATTCAGTGCTGCAGGAAGATCAGATTTTCTGGTGTAATCTTCTGTAAGTGGTAATATTGTTATTGACTCCGCTAGGTGCCTAGTCTTTGAAAATGTGTGACTTGAAATAAATAATGTAATGGTTTTTTTAGGATAACATGAAAACACCTCAAATGATTCAGACAAGCTTATAGTTCATAGAGGCTGAAGAACCAAATCTGGAGTCGTGCTCTTGAGAGATATCAGCTAGAAACCACATCTGTGATTGTGTGAGATGTAAACCTATACTTCCCAATTGTATCTGAGTTGTGGTGCAGAAAGTGCTGTGCTGTTCATATTTAACCAAGTGGAAGCGGCGGCGTCTCGCAGTTGGACTTATACAGTTTTGTTTAGAGCAGCAGACTCACGTCGTTAAGCTTTTGCTATAAGTAAATTGGATTGACTTCTTAAGACATTTTGCTCATTGATTGTGTCTGGTTTCACTGAGACAATGTCTGAGGAGAGGACTGAGCATAAAACAAGGGAGGACAGGACAGAACATGAGGTAGAAAAGAGAATAAAGCTCAGGAGAAAAGTTACTGTGAGCTGAGGAGGTGATTAGAGAATAACAGGATAATTTAAAACATCGTAGTCTTTTCTTTTTAAAATATCAAAGTTTCACAGCAAGACACTGTCAAGATGCAATGTGAAATATACAGTTTTAAATAAAATGTCTATAGAGAATGTATGTCAAAGTGATTGTTTCTCATCTCTGACTTTCTAACAGGGTGCAGTGATCTGTAGGCTGAAGGAGAACAGACAGGAAAAAGGAGTACTGATGGCAAAAGGGTACTTAAGCACTGACCCAGTGTTTAGGTCCTAAGATCACTGTCACACCAAGGTTGTCGAGTTGTACAGTTGTCATGTGTGACATGATGAATTTCATTTTCTTTCTAAAAACTGTACTGAAAATATGTCAGAGCAAACATTTGTCTGTCAGTCTTATAAATGTACCATAGTGTTCCTCATATTTAACAACTCTATATGGGGTCCTGACACTAAGGCTGGAAAAACTCTGAGACAGAACATAGGAGAGGACGAATGAGAAATGGGGTTGGTTATGGCAGGTTAGAATGCAGGAGATAGGAAAGGAAGGATGTATAGAAAGAAAGTCAAGACAGTGTTGAACAGAAGGTCAGATAAGAGAACAAGAGATCAAGGAGATGAGACGAGACGAGGGGAGGAGAGGTATCTCTCCTCCAGCTCTGAGCCACAGGCTTCTAGGTCTATCAGTTTGGATTACACACTCCTGCCTCGGAAAATCCATGTCCACACTCTGGCTTTCACAGCTTGGATGTTTGCTTTCTTTTCACAACCAAAACAGTTGGAAGTGTTTTACGTACATTTCCATAAAGTCAGCACACTGACAGATGATTATACTTTAATAACAAAGAATCTCCTTTTACAAGAGTTAAGCACTTGATGAGAAGGAAAGATTTCATGTTGTAACATCTTGGTGTGTAATCTGTGATGTGTGTGTCACAGAGCAGAAGACTTCCAATATGAAAAGAATTTAGCAGATTATAATAAAATCAAACACGGAGTAATAGGCCCATTGTGAAGACATTCGTGGCTGGATGTAGGAAATTATGCATAGCTGTGCAAAACGTCCTCTTCAGAAACCTTGTAAAGAAAGATAGGATTTTCATATCTGGTTGGCTTAAAGTCCCAGTTGTTTCCACAAAGAAAGAGCAGAGAAATCCTATGAATAATGAAGTTTGTTATTCTCTTCCATTTTTATTCTACCAGACTGAAGGAAACCACAGAGGAAGAAAAGAACTAGCAGAGGAGGAGTGAGGGGATTTGGGTTTTTCTGGTAAGTTGGAAATATTTCTGTCAGACTTTGACTCAGTTTTTTCAGATAAAATCATCTTCACCAACATGATCATTTTCCAAAACAGGGTGAACTTCTGGCCTTTCTTGTTTTCTTTCCAAGGCAATTCCACTCCCAAAGGATGTGAACACACACAAATGTCAGTCTGTCTGCCATGCCTGGCAGTGTCTCCAGTCCAAATATCTTCATCTGTGACACTGTCAGAATGCGAATGTATTAATATTAACACTCTCTGTAGAGCTAAGTCCCTAACGAATAC